GGGGGTTCTTATATACTAGTCAGACTGCGCACGGACCAGGCGTTACATAAGCAACTGTTGCTACAGCGGCTGCTAGTGTCTAGGGGACTTTGGCGGAGAAGCGAGGGCCGTGTGTCATATCTGATGACGTTGTCGGGCCTGACGGAGATAGGATGTCCGTTGCCGATCGGACTCGGAGATAGACGGGGGCCGGTGTGTCATGGTGTATGACGTTGTCGGGCCGACGGGGATTGGATGTCCGATGGAGATCGGAGTGCGGCTGTTACCGAGGAAGCGTGATGCGGGACGAGGCGGCGGCGATGCAGGTGCGTCTGATGCGTTTGATGCGTGCCCGTTGGTGATGCGTTTCAAGGTGTTAGCGCGCAGCTAGGACTTGTAAACCGGCGCTAATGCGCCGAGGACGTTTGGAGGGTCGTATAAACGTGGAATAAATCGGAGAAAATGGGAATAAAATAGGAGGCCGGGGCTACGCCCACGACATTTGGACTTATTGACTGGCGCAGCCTTAGCCTCGCCCTGATTGGGTTGGTTCGAAAACGGACGCGGACGATCTTGTTGCTCACATTGGTCTCTACGGCCATTGCTGTCACGTTCGGGTCGTTTGCAAGAGCGCTGTGGCCTTTCCCTACGCCAATCACGAGGGAAATAACTAGATCGATTTTCTGAGAACTGCCTTGACGACTCTCGATCGCTGTGGGAAGGTGCATCACCCTGGGTCTTCAAAGACGACGGTGCTGCCACCATCTTTGCTGACATCATAGATGCCTGTTGCTTTTGCCAAGTCTCTGTGCTGGCATCAAGGTCCTTGATCTGAAGGGCACTCTCGAGAAGCCTCTCAGCACTCGAGTTCTCAGGTTTCGTTGATGAAGTTCTTCAATCCGAGTAGATATGGATATTGGGAGTCCATCCATGAACTGTCAGGCGAATGAATATGAGTCTGGATGGACAACCATTCGCCTGGCGTGCTTGTCCAGATTTTGGAAGAACCCGTTCACCCCAGTATGAGATGAGTAGTGCACAAAATCGTACTTGTAGGCTGCGTCCTTAATCGTACTGAACTTCACAAAGTGGAAGTACATTGAGCAGAAGGTTCCTGCCAATGTCGTTCTGTGATCTCCTAGTACTAGTAGATTTGGTTTGATATCCTCGCGGAACCAAGTAGCAGGCTCGCCTTCCAATTGGTTTCTCAAGAGCAGGACTGCTTCCGACTCTAAGTCGGGTACGTTTAATCTAGCAAGGTACGCGAACCGGACGAACTTCAAGAAGAATGTCCAGAATTCGTTGTGATCAGAGCTACTACTATATGTGGCAGTAATCTCTGATTTTACCTTTACCGAGGAAGGGAGCTTAGGCAGCTCTCTTCCTAAGTTTCAGTTGATATGGTCTTTTATAGCTGTGAATACTGACTCGACAAGAGCAGGCACAGTTGCAGCTGCAGGAGGCCACACGACATGGACAGACAGGCCAACATGGACAGATGGATTATAACTCCATTCTGCCAAATTGGCGGTTTCAGTAGCCGCAGCTGTCCTCTTCCTTGTCGTCTTAGATGCTGCAGTTGCTTGTTGTGCATACCCAGAAATGGACAATAGTGGGGCCATCAGTAAAGGTACAGGGTTTATCTGTACATTCGACAGACCTGCTCACCCACTTTGTTGTGGTTGAACACCTTGCCCTGCAGGCACTTGTTGTCGCGCACGTCCAGGCATGGATTGCTTTGATGTTCCTGCAAAGATGGTGGTATGGACTTTGCCATCCCCTTCTTTGCCTTCGGAGTCTTGCTCTTCTGTGTCTTCGTCGGGCTTACCTTCGGGTTTGTCATCTGATCCATCACTCCCATCATTTCCACCTCCCCTGCCATTACCTCCATATCCTCCATGTCCACCGCTACCACCGTGGTTCCCTCTTTGGCCCTGTTCGTCAGGCTCATCCCCATTCAAACAGGCAGCACTATCAGCTGTCTCGTTTGGATCAGGATGTAAACCGGCCTGGTGGAGGTGTTCATTCAAGCTTGCATGGCATGAGACTGAGGCTCTGAGATGGGAGAAATCCTTCCATTGTCTGGGGGATTCCCTCCATAGTTAGTAGCAGGAAGATTGAAGGGTATGATAGGGTCGGCTCTAGCCTTCCCTTTGTTCTTCGGGCTGGGTTGAAGCTCAGGGGAAGGCAACGTGGATGACTTGTCATTTTCGTCACCTTCATCAACAGGGCTTTTGATCTGGGAGACTCGCAGCCTGTCGAGCTCCTTCACCTCTATGGCTTGGGCAGCTTCGTCTCGGGAATCTCCGTTGGCCATCTTGGCCAAAGTCTCCTCTAATGTCTCGCCAAGGATGTCAAGGCTCTGCTTGGACCTCTTGATGGTCTTAGCAAACTTGGCGTGGTACCCATTGAGTTCGTTGCGGGTTTCAGTGATGAAATCTTCAAACTCAGTAGTCACTTCCTCAAACATACCGCCTGCGTTGGAGATCTGCTCTTGGAACACATTCCATACCTGGGACAGTTCCCAATCGCAGTGTCATCGAACTTCACAAAGAGCCCTCCTGTGCTCTTCATCTTCCTCCTTGATTTGAGGAAGAGCCGCCTCATATACTGAGGGCGCTCCTCCGCGGCTGATGGACAGGTGGAGATTGACCAGCTCTGCATCGCTGGCCAATCCCATTGTGGTAGTAAGTTCAGAGACGAACGAGGAAGAGTTCCTGTTATCTGTTTGATTGCCAGTGGCGCTATCTTGGCTGTCAACACATTCAGTGTCAACACACAAAGGAGGCATCGGGGCGATTCTCATTTTAATATAAGATATAGACACCAGTGTGGTTGACACTTCGGTGCTCGCTGTTGTCGGAACGTACGCATCACCGCTGCTTTCCTCAAAAGGAATCATCAGTGATGCAGTTCTCAATTGAGATCTGAGGACTTGAGTGCTCATTCTTGGTCCTTAGTGGTTCAGTTTCGGTAGTTTTACTGTAGTAGCGACAACAAATAAAATTTGCTTTTGCTGGATACAAGCCTGAAGGCTCAAAAAAGTGTAAGACCTGTAAGGTCGTAGACTTAGGAATCACCCTGCAAGAGCCAGACTGCATTATATTCTCGAAGAGTAGCTACAACAGAGGGGTAAAAGTAAAGTCTGAGCCTGAAACCAAGGGGCATCCCAATCTTATATCAGGCCAGAATGCTACCCAATAACAAATACATGAGCTAGCACAAGAAGAATGTGTTTCCGATCGGCGAGAGCACTAAGTTACAAAAAAGGAAGATGTCTACAGTAAATGGGTGATAAGTCGCGTGCCTTACAGTTGCCGAGCACACCAGCAACTGGCCGGAACCTAAAGATTGTCATCGCCAGATTAACTCCTAATCACGCGACGAACTCAGATAATGAACAGTATATCGATAATGAAAGCAACTCACAGGTCCACAAATAGTATGTACAACCGGCAGCCAGCGATGTTGGGTGCGAGGATGCCCACAAATTAGAGGCAGCGTCCAGATAATCGGGGTGCGCTGTTGGGGGGCGCTGATGCAAGGTGTTTCACAGACGAGCTTCATCTACCCACCACTTAGTTACCTGCTAGCAGCTAGGGGGGTTTTTTCTGATGTATCACAAGTGCAAGGAGTTACAAAACAATTGAACACCACTAAGCTTTATTCTTTTTCTTCTCCACTTTTGTCAGCCATCTTTTAACCTCTGGCGTAGCTGGACTGGTGGGTAGAGACTCAGCATCAGGGACATAAGTTGCGTCCTTGCGCTCTGAGTTGGGTGGTGTTAATGTGTCCTCAGCAGCAAACTCGGCATGAGCTTCTATAATGGTCTTTGCCCTTGCTATTGAATGCCAGTCGACAAACTCTTGGTTTCGTATCTGATTGCAAGGTGTCAATTCACAGAAGTGGGCTCGGAGACCGGTTGAAGACACACCTGATCCCTGCAAAGGGTTTAGGGTTTAGAGTGGGAAGAGTGGGACCTATATATATACTGCAAGAGACAAAGGGCTTTGTCTCAACTGCAGCACTTAAAATGAACGGCAGCGCTAAATAATGAACTGCAGTGCTAAAAAGTGAACTGCAGTGCTTACCAACATGCTGCATTGCCCAATCAGTCACTGCACCCCATTGCAACCAGATGCCAACTAGTTTCCAATGGTTGGAAAACTAGTTGGAATTGCTGATACACTTCGATGTGCAATTCCGGTGTGACTGAGACGGCAATCTATATAATGATAACAATGTAGCTTAGAGCTAAGTTGCTGTCATTATGCTGTATTGTCGTCTACTGTCTCTGCTGAATGCGTTATGATTTTGGCAATGCCCACTGGTGCCATTGCTGCACTTTCCATGTCCAATAGTGAGCTTGTGTAAGTCACTGTCTTTGCTGATCACCTCACCTAGAAGTTGCACCGACCTAAACGCCAACTAGTTTTCAACTGTCGGAAACTAGTTCTGGACTTGTACTTTTCAAATGCAATAGATGCCAACTAGTTTTTGATGGTTGAAAACTAGTTGGCATCTATAGCACTTGAAAAGTACAAGTTCGAAACTGGTTTCCAACCGTCAAAAACTAGTTAGCATCTGTTGCACTTGAAAATTACAAGTCCAGAACTAGTTTTCAACCATTGGAAACCAGTTCTAGACTTGTACCTTTTAGTGCAACCACTGTCTTTGTGATTTGATCATGGTCCTGTGTAACTCACCATTCTTTCCACTCGCGTCTCACTGGAGCTTTGCTGAGCCAGACACCAACTAGTTTTGGATGGTCGGAAACTAGTTCCTGACTTGTGTGATTTTCAGGCATATCTGCCGTCTTTGCCAATAGACTCTCTGTGAGTCAGCAGTGCTCTTCGTTTTGGTTGGTCATTTTGCATGACGACATGAACGTGCTCACTGTGTTCGTAAATGTGCGGACTAGATTTCCGATCATTATTGCCCCTGCTGTCATTGCTGCTGCCACGTTCAAAACTGACCACTTTCAATTATATTGAAAGCAGTCATCGGTCATCGAGACGGGGAGCAAGATGATTTCGCAGTGTGGAGTTCTTCATTGTCGTCTACTCCAGTCATTTTTGTTGCCGCACATTCGTTCATTCACATTCAGCTAGCCAGCCAGCTGCAACGCCATCAGCAAAGCAGCCCAAGGACAATTAAGTTAGCATTGCAGTGGCAAAGGAGCACTTACTTTGAATGAAGCAGCCTTTTCTGTCTTGCGCCCTGCATTCCACCTCTCTGTTCACTCTGCCATCCTTCGCTTCTTCTGCTTGCCTTTTCTCGTGTTTCAACACTCGGAGTTGTACCTTGTGGCGAGGTCAAGGGGTGATAGAGGCAATGGCTGTGAGACTGGTGATGTGGGTGGTAGATAGAGAAGCAAAGGCTGAAACGGTGCATGAAAGGCAGAGTTACGCCACTTGGCACTTTGGCTACATCATAGTTTCCGAGATAGCTCTAGATCATCACTTCTTGCACAAAGGTATGCAATCACCCTTGACATACTTTGGCCAGGCCTTGATAGCTACAGGATGTACACTAGTGCATGTTACAAATTACCACATGGTATTTACAGTGCATAGGGGAAGATCAAGCCAGAAAATGCATGCCTTTGAGTATGTAGTATCCACTACAGCAGAGACCTAATAGAGACCTTACAAATGCGGCATGCTTTGCATGGACGTAAAAGTGTCATGCTGTTCTACTAGTTAGCCTACTACTGAGCCAGAAGACTGAATTGCCCCAACTACACAAATCAGACTGCAGAGTAACTCTGTCACTGTCTCACACTCCTTTATGATGGCTGGAAATATATTGGAATGATTGCTAGCTTATGATTGGAAAGAATAAGCATAGATCTTAGCGAGTAGAGATGAAAGAATGACTGCGGCAAGTACGAGCGTGATCATTGGTTGTTGGCAAGATATGTAAGCTAAGCTGGTAAAGCTGGTAAACATTGTGTAAGCATTATGATACTGCATTAGGGTGTTTCACGATGGCGTTTTTGAAGCGTTTTTGAGTACCTTTTTGATCATGTTTTGAGTACCTTTTTGCAATGAAAAATGATCCAAAAAGCAACCCAAAAACATGTCTACTGTAAAACCCTCCCATGCAGGCCATGGTTTCTGACCCTTTGGTGTCGTGTTGCTGCGTGACACACAGCAGATCACCACTACAGCGTCCTGCAGCACTGTCATGCCCGCCATCCTGCTCTGCCAGCAACTACTACACGAGATCTTTAGATATGCCGCGTGTGTTCAGCAGCTTCGATGGCCTGAATTGGAGCAACCTTATAGCGCAGATTCAGACTCTGAATCCAGGTCGACCTATGCCAAAGATAGCACCGATTCAGATACTTCAATGAGCTCAGGCTACTCACAATCTTCAGCATTGTCAGACTTAACACAGGTGTCTGCAGACTCCGACATCATCTCTGAAGCAGAGACAGAGGACAACCTGTCGGACAACCTATACCTTCAGCGCCTTTGAGCAGTTAATGACCGTCTGCACTTCTTAACCACCAGCCGCCATTTTGCAGTCTATAAGCCAGTTCATAAGGCGTCACAACTTCATTTGGTGCTCCATCTATTCAAGCACGATGACCTGAAACGATTTCGCCGCAACCTACACGTGTCTCCTGCCACCTTTGATGCTCTTCTTCAGCAGATCAACCAGCACCCTGTATTTTACAACCAGTCAAACAGCTCGCAGATGCCAATTCCCCATCAACTCGCTATTGTGCTGTACCGCTTTGGGCATAATGGAAATGCAGCTGGTGTAGAGGCTGTTGCACAGTGGGCAGGGTCGTCAGCTGGGATGGTGGTGAAGGCTACCAGGTGGGTGATCATCGCATTTTTGGCTCTTCATGACCAGGCGATTCGCTGGCCATCTGCAGCAGAGAAAGAGGAAGCCAAGGAGTGGGTAGAAGCAGCTGCCTGCACTGCATGGAGAGACGGCTATGTCCTCGTTGATGGCACTCTGGTCAAGCTGGCAGAAAAGCCTGCCCGTCACGGCAAAGCTTATTTTGACTGCAAATCAAACTATTCGCTTAACGTGCAGGTACGTGTATACCTTTCCTAGAGATGCTGTGCTTACTACATGCCATTCAGCTCATCACGCTTCCAAATCTGCGCATAGTCGATTATGTTATAGGCCATTGCAGAAGTGTTCATGACTCAACTGCCTTCATGGACTCCCGCACCCATAAAGAACACCACCAGCTCTTCAGGAAGGGTGAATGGATTTGGGCAGATTCAGCCTATTCTATAGAGGCCTGGTGTGTGACACCGTTTAAGAAGCCTGCCGCCAACATACGAGAGAATAAAATTTTTAATTACTGGGTATCTCGGATGAGTGTTATCATGACCTCTGCTTGACTTTATTTGGTTGTTCACCAGTTCTTGCTGCTTCTACCAAGTTCGCGTAAAGTCAGAGCATACAGTTGGCTATTTCAAAGGCCGCTTTCACTCTCTACGAGATCTTCGGCAGCAGATCAAGAACTCTACAGACCATTTTTGTGCAGTCGAATGGGTCCGCGCATGTATTGTCATTCACACTTTGATATTGGAGATAGAGCAAGGGGCAGAGAGAGATAGTGAGTGGGATGAAGAGCTCCTTATAGAAGGTGCATTGTTCGATGTTGAGCGGCTTTCAAGCGATGGTGAGAATGAAGGTAGCAGCTGTGGAGATAGATGCGAAACAGCAGGACAGGGGCAACAACGGCGAGTTAAAGAGCTTCTATTCACGAGCAATCTAGTTGCTCAGTAAACTGTTATATATCTATTCGGGCAAAAAATAATACTCTGAGCCAGCAACAGCACTTTCTTCGCCAAGACTGTTTGTGATGCCAAGACCGTCTGCAATGCTAAGACCGTCACTTCCGAAATCAGATCCGAACATGCTACCTGAAGTAGCAGGTACATCTGCTGGCACAGTTCCAAAGCTGGAGCTGGCTCCAGATGTGTGCGAAACGGTCCCAAAGCTAGGACTGGCTCCAAGTGTGCACAAAGATGATCCAGCAACCATAGACATCATCTGAAGAAGTATCTGAGAATTGTGTGCACGAGCTTGTGCCTCAAGCTCGATCTTTCGCCTCTCGAGCTTCGTACACTCAAGCTTGATATCGAGCTCCCAAGCACGCAACTTGTCTCTGTCTGCATGGCGCTTGTCTATACACTCAGCCTCTGCCCCCAAGTTAGCAATGGCATTAAAGCCTTGCTTCGCACTGGAAGCCAGTAAGCCACCATATTTGGTCTTCTTTCCTTCTTTGCTCTTGGTTGGTGGTAGTGGAGCATTCTGTGTGCCTTGAGTAGCCTTTGCAACAATCGATGAAGAGCACCTCGTAGAAGGAGGTGGAGACAGCGACCATCTAGAAGGTGTGGAAGAAGCCTATGCATGCCGTTGGTCATGGAAATGTGAGTGCGAAAGATAAGGCTCAATGCGTTGGAATTTTCGGCTCCTTCTCCGTCTTCGCTACCTTCGGGCTGGACTTCGTTAGTGTCATCGAAGCTGCTGCCCATATCCAGTCTGTCATCTGCATCAGTTGCTGTGAGCTGCGCATCGAAAATAGCAGCAGCATTTGCTGCATGGCTGGAGCTGGCTGTCGAGTTCAAGATCTCAATAGGGTTGTAATTCGGCAGCTCCTTCCACCAGAGATGCAGATCATCCCAAAAGGGCCATTCTGCATGAATTTTAGCTAGAGATGTTGTCAGGTGAGCATCTCTGCATCTTCTTTATGTGATAACTCACCAAGAATGTTCTTATACTCGTCAGAGTCCTCTACTCCACCTCCTGTCTCTTTCAACCACTTGACATAGCTGGTATACTTGGACTTAAGCCTGCACAGAATCCTGGTTCAGCTGCAGTAAGTGACTGTGCTTGTGCTTACATACCTTGCCCATTGCTGCTGAGTGGACTTTGCAAATGCATTAGGGTGCTCTTGGCAGGCCTTTCGAAGTTCATCATCGACATCAACTCCGGCATCTTCACCAACAGAATCAAAGATGCCTTCACCGGCAAGCACCCCGAAAAGTGCGATCTTTGACTCCTTGTTGTTGTCCTTGTGGCGCTTCTTCTTGTTCACATCAGCTGTAGAATCGCTGTGGAGTTTGCGGCGGAAGATAGGGTTCTGCTGAAGGTACGCTATCCCATGCTGGGTCCACTCGGGATGCTGGGCTCAGTCGAGCTTTGGCAGTGGTGTTTTTGTCTCCTTGCTTGCCTTAAATGTCTTCTTAGGCTTTTGGTCTGTCTTAGGCTTTGCTGGTGATGTCAGCAGGGTGCGCTTTGCCTTCCCCTGGCGTTCCATGGTGCTGTAGCAATGCAAAATTCATGAAGAAAATTCAAACAAGAGAGAGGTGCCTGTCGCGCACTTGGAGGGCTACACTAAGCGCCAAGGAAGGTTAATTAGGCTCGAGCAGGATGATATTAGTGTTGTAAGGTATACATAAATATATACATGCTTGTTAATTTGGGTGTGGGAGAAAAAACGAGACGCAAAAACACAAGTGAAAACGACTGTCAAAACAGCTCCAGAGCCATTTTGGCCTATTGTGTTTTTGAGTTGAAACCGTTTTTGAGCGAGTCTGAAGTGATGCCCAAAAACACGGCCAAAAAGAACGGCAAAAAGGGCCCAAAAACGTTACCGTGAAACACCCTATTATTACTCACCGGAATTGCCCACATGCTTCACCGTATATATATTAAGTGATGTCCAAATTTCGGCATTTGTACATACACTCGCCATCGAGTAACATGAACCACAATGTAGAAACTTGTCATAGCCAAAGATTACTGGTAACCATAGTCATTAGATGAAATAGTTCTTAGAGCTTTTCCGATTGGTTGGCTGTAACTATACCAAGCTGAGCTAGCCTGAAAAGCGATTACTTTGCATACCGGAATAATTACTCCAAGGTTACATTATCGGTAGTGCTCTTTTTTCACAGCACTCTATTGCCTTCTAAATGTCCTAGCAAATTTTGGTTCTTTGAGGCTGAAAGCCAGCTTGGCAAATCTGACCGCATGGCTGACTTGCATAATATGTGTTGTAACACTCTTGGAATTGCTACATTTCCGTGTACATGGTTATACAACCTTGGATACAATTCCAGCAGTTGCTGCATTCCAGCTATTTGTATTGCCATAACTGGTGTACTCCACTGATACCACTGTAGCATAAACTAACTTAGTGTGTACAGACACTGTAATACTTAGTAACCAGTCATATTGCTGCCACAGTATTCCAACAATTCGTACCATGCTCGTTTCTGGAGGAGCTACCTTTACTGTGATGAGTATGCAACCTGATTCTTCCCATGCACAAGTCTAGCACCAGGAACTTGCATTTGCATCTGATTACCACAATATCCAGATTTGGTATAGCTTGATCGCCACCATTCCCTGAACTATATAGCCTTACACATCACTGCTAGAGACCTTGCCCCATCTTTCAGCATTTCCTGTCACCAGCACCCTTCGCATTTCTCTCTGCTTTATACTTGGAAGATCATGTCCTCCTCAGACGGCGCCGGTTACTGTGCTGAGCAAGTTCAAGTTGTTCTCAACATGTCCAACATTTATGGCGTGGAACAATTGCTTGGAGCAGCATGGAATCAGCTCAAAGCTAGATTGGTTCGTTCACTCCAACTTGTTTATCCGTTCAATCTCATCTTTGTGGGCTCCAGGATGACCTTCAAGCCTCATATGGATATCACTTATCCTACGCTTTTGGGTTTCTTAGCAATGATCTCCGATGGATTCACGAAAGGTTCCATGCAGCACAGGAACTGAACAACAATATCTCGGCATTATTGCATCATTCCGATAACCAGTCTGACCAAAGTCGAGAGCGAGCCCTTTGGTCGAGAATGCTTTGTATCCGGTAGGCTTTTGTATTTTGTTCACTGTCTATGTGGCTTTGTTTATCAGTGATCAGGAGAATATTGAGACAGAGAGTGGACATTTGCCAAATGTAAAACTATGGATTGTCGACATCAGAGCTGAGCTATCACCAGAGAATGCTCTGCCATGATATGGAATTATGGTAATGCTTCCCAACATTGTTGTTGCTTGATGTTGATGAGATTCACAGCTTCGACCTGTTTCTGGATGTGCGGAATGCTACATACATTGATTGCCATGCAACCCCCTCCTTCTGCTTGACTCTGTTCAGGCTGTCTGCTCTGATCAACCTTGCCAAAATTGCTCTCAGACAGACTTGAGATGCGTCTCTGTAGATGGTGAGCATTCTCGATAATGCACTGTTCTGAATGGAAACTCATATCTGATTAGTTGTCGACTATGCAGCTTGGACCAGAGATGGTCTAAGCACTTATCGAAGCATAACATTGGGAATTGATGTGGCATCTGCTCTCACCCACCTCTAACTACGTGTTGCTAGACTCACACATGTTGTGGAGGAAGCATTCGGCCCGGATGCTCCTGTAATGCAGGGCTCACAGCATATCATATTCATTGAGCGCATTGTCAATGGCCTTATGGCCTGAATTGCCAATTTACACAATCCGAGCTATTGTCTTAAGTCTCATACATCAACCCCAGGGTAGCTCCACAGAGGGTGATGCATCATTCATTGGAGGTGTCCAGGGGCAGTGGGTGATGCATCACCCTCTTCATCTACACAGGCTACCCAAGCTTGGAAACCATGGATGATGCATTACCTACTTGAATCATGCAGACAGCAGTCTTCCCAATGTAATATGCATAATATAGCATTGAAACTCAGCTATTAACAGCTGTGGGCGTATTCCAAAATAGCAGCAGGCCTTATTTCTCAGCAGTTGCCACTCAAACGCCACAAGCCTGGACAATCCCAAAAAGGTAATGCCATCAACGTGCCCTTTCCGGCTTTCTCATGGTGGTGTTTTAATCACTCTCCTGCAGCTGAATGGCTCTCGTTTGACATGAGTCTAATTTGGTAGGTCTGTAGCACTTGTCGTGTGCATATTTGAGGTGAATATCGGCCCACTGAGGTGGCAATAATGCTGCTATCAGCACTTTGCGCCAGCCGGCACAACCGATCGCTGCTTGGCACATGCGCAGCTGGCTCTTCTGCCCCCAGGCTGCTTCAATGCAGCAGGTTTTTAATAGATAATGCTAGCGGAAGTGTATGTGTATGTGTCTTATATCAATATTGTCCTACCAGCATACAAAGAGCTTCACTATGGGCACTTTCCGTTGGCCAGTGCAGCCGATCCTTTCTGGGCACACACGGGACCACCTGTTCACAATAAGAACACATACATAGGTAGACTTATGTCTCTTAGCATCTTATACTGCTGTTTTGAACCTTTATCTCTGACTCACACGAGTACAATATCTGACTGTACGAATATACTTTTAATATTTCTTATATTTATTATGACTCATCCGATACTCCTGTTCCCGATGCTCAAAGATAATGTAATATGCGGCCATACTGTAATATCATTGTTTAGACATAGAACTGCAGAGATACTGCCCTGGGACATGCATACATTACAATGTTCAACATAGATCACATGACTATCCGTTCCCAGAATTTGCTAAGTCTCAAGTGTCAATAGAATAGTGCAGGATTTGCTCCGCGGCAGTGAAGCACCCAATATGGTCGAATCGGACATTAATGTAGACAGCAGTACCATATAGTAAGATTAATTGACCAATGAAATATATTGCACAAGCCACAACTACTCTTCGTCAGTGTCAACCAAGTCACAGAGGCCATCATCATCAGAGTCGGCATCCACGGTGAGAGTGAAATGCACCTCAAAACCGTCTCCATCGCCACCACTAACAACCATCTCTCTATCTTCATCTCCATTGGTTATCGTCAGAGCAAGATCTGGCACGCGTGCCCAGATGCTATTAAACCATGCACATAGTCCTCGCTCGACTGTGGCGCGCTTGGCAGCATACACGCCTGCACCTTCTGCAACGATTCAGCAAGTCTTGAGTGTTTTGGCCTAGCCTTCGTGTTGATCCCACAGCAACGCTGCCTTCTCCAGGAACACAAGCGTGCGTCGCTTCTCTTCTCACAGGATAGCTATTTCTTCTTGATATCGCTCATACCTGGCCCTTGACTTGAAATATTCCACGCGGAGGGCTGGTGGCAGCAGCGATGAGCCACATGCATCTGACAAGAGATCAAAACACACCGTCGCTGAGTTCCCGAATGCCACTCACGTCTCCCTCTCCATTCGTGCCCTTCCATATCCATGACAGCTCTTGCTTGCCCTCTGATGTCCCAACTCCAACAATCTCGTCGTCTCCGTGTAACGTCACAACATCTTGGTCTTGAAGCACCTTCCAACGCTGCTCCCAAGGGCCAGGGCCAACAATAGCGAGCTTTGCCTGGCGTGCTGATCGATACTTGTCTTTGAAGGCCGTGATCTTAATCTCGTTCTGCTGTATTTTTGTACGCGCTCGAGTATTTGGAACTTGATGTCATGCTTGCCAGTCCTTGAAATGAACAAGATGTGAGCAGATATGCAGATGTACTTGTAGTTTGTTGAGGCTGTCTGCAAGTTGGCTGTCTCAGAGGCACAACTCCATATCCGCCAACCCAGAGACACACCCATGGAGTTCCCGTTCGTCTAGCTCGCTTGGTAGAAACAGTGGCTGCAGTTCCGGGATGTTGAGTTTGTTGAGCTCAGCTGGAGGCAACCTTCGCAAAGTGTTACCGGATGATGCGAGCCACTGGCAATATTTGGCAAGTCTCATGGAGACGCGCGGCATGTAAACCATCTGCACAGTGCGTGCAGTGTTCAGGTGGTGCCGAAGTGCCGCATGCTTGGCAATTGCTTCTGCAGTCTGCAGTGGAGTGCCGCTCATGTTCAACGGGTACTTCTTCCGGAACTTGCGTCTAGAGAGAAAATCAGAAAGCACACCAATTGGAGTGTAGTTAACTTACTGTTGTTCCTCTAGGTCCATAAGATTTGCTATTATTGTCGCTGGTGTAATCTCATGCAGCATGACATGTCCATTGTTAGCTGTGTTCTCCTCTTCTTGGGCAAGCTTGAGCCAGATCTCTGCCTTGCTCATACCTGCAAATAATCAGTCCAACCAAACTACAGCTGTCTGTAAAATCAATGTACCAGACAGCGTGCAGTAGTATGGATCTGGAAGGGTAGAATCAGCTTTGTACATGAGAATCTGGGTGTCCCACTTGGCAACGTGTGACGGCTGGAGCTCCTGAACAAACTCTTGATGTGCACGGTTGAATCTCGAAAAGCTGGCAACCGCTGTATGTTTGCGCTTATGTAGGTTTGGGCCTGTAAAAGCCAGAGGTTAATGGATCTACCCAAGTCATACACAGTGAAGGGCCCGCACCTAAGTCAATATACTTCTCCTCATTGTTCCAGTGTAGATGGTCTTCGAGCATTTCTTCTCTCAATCCTGGACCCATCTCCCACGTACTTGCAGTGGTACCGTCAAAACACGACCACCCACGCTCCACTTCTTTGCCATCCGTCTGACCACAGCCCTTCATGAAGTTGAGTGAGTACTTGTTATGATCTTGCTTCTTGTGGGTGTTCAGATGGTACTTAGAGATCACATACTGTACTTCACCACCAATGGGCAGTTCGATTTGAATGTGCGCTAGCAGATTTTTGATACACTCGTGAAGCCAGATCAAGTATTGACACATAATGTCGTAGGAAAGAACGACCCCCTTCTTTGTGGTTGGTTGTGGCTGAAGGCTGAGGGCTGACATGGATATAAAGTCCATGTTGCAGTATCTGCAGGGCGGTGATCAGTACTATACAAAGCATGCAGGTTTTCACCATACCTCTCACTCTTTTGGAGGTCCCCAACTCCGTTCGGCAAGATAAAGCCATGTTGCACATCGATCGCCATCGCAATGCCGGTAGTTGCATAGCCCCTATAGTGTCGACTATTTGCAAGCATCAGCACAGTGAACCCAGTACATGTGCTTATTTATAACCCAAGCACGACGGACATGTGAGCACAGAAATGCGAACAGTGGAGCAAAGAGCTTACATCTTCCTAAGTAACATACTTCTTAAGATGCTCTCGGTATGCACTGCCCTCGATGCAATAACCCCAGCCTGACAACATCGAAGGATCACAAGCCTCATTGGAGATTGCGCGGCACTTCAGCCTGAAGTTTGTGTCGAGTGCAACAAAGGTGGTATAGATGAACCTTGAATGCATCAGCTAATATCCACATAATCCACCGAGGTACTTACTTGAGGTTGTCAGATATACACTCCCAGTTTGGCGGGAGGTTCACATCAGGCTGTGGACACGCCGGACATTGCAGACAGAGTTCACCCAGTTTTGTTGCTAAGACTCCGCCAGACTCATGGCCACGGCCTGCAGACTTGACTAGCTAGATATGCCTCCATTCTCTGACCATGCGCAAGAATGGTTTAAGGCGATCCTAAAAGCACAACATGGTGTCAGTAAATGGCTTGATGAGCCCGAGCCAAACTACGTACAAAAGGCTTTTGGAGCCCAAAGCAGTTTGTTGTCTTCTGCAAGAAGAGATAAAAGTCGTAAACTGTGACCTTGCTTTGTAAGGTGAGGAGGTGGAAGGTCTCCATTAGATGGAACGTGCAGCACGTAGAGGGGTCATCAAAGGTTGCAGAGTATAGCTCGTAGCGGAGCAGTTGTTGGAGCCGAGTACCTGCTTGCTCTTGATGATCGAACTCGCAGAATTGAACAGTGACTGAATGGAAACCGTTCGTATCAATCACCGTGAAGCTGCGCGGTGCTAATGTGGGAACAAGGCAAACCTCTCCATAGAGGTGGCCAAGTTGGATGACTAGACTAATGCTTTGAAGGGTCGTAGCCTCAAAAAACCGCCTGTTCCACTGCTAGAATATATGTTAGCTGGGAACATATTCAAACAGTCGAGCAATGTACCATAATATTGTGAAAAGAATTGGTTGCATGGGCTGCTAAGCAACAATGTCAACATACGACGGACCCCCCCATGCAATCTTCACAGTGAAATTCAGTTAATCGAGCAGAGTTGCATGGGCGAGTTGCACATCTTGTGCAGTCTGCGCCACACCAGCCATCCAAGCAGAGGAGCTCATCAAGAAAGAGGTCACGGTGTTTGGCCCAATCAAGAAGGACGGGGTCGTGAATCTACAACGCGTCGATTAGACATGTTAAAAATGAGGACCGCGCCAATGAAAAAATTATTTACCAATGTTGCGAAGGTTTTTGGGCCTTGCCTGGTGGTCGGATTGCTCATTGCCGACACAGAGGCTGGGTGGTCTGCATCATTGACATCTTCATCAGCAGGCTCTGGAGGAAATAGACTCCAAGAGAGGCTCTCTTCAACAATGTCAGCCAGCAGCTTTAGCAGAGGGAGTGGAGCAGGGCATCATTCGATGCCACACATGATATGTCGTCCATCGGCGGACACTCTGTTGATAGTGGCAACACTGGCCCGTTGTTGGAGCTCTCCTTTACACAAGGAAAAGAGCTGTGTACCACCCGGTGCCTGCTTGCGCTTCTTGGTGACTGGCATGTGTGAGGCGAAAGTGTAATCAACAACAAGTAGAGCTCGTCAACAGCAGATAACTGCTCTGGGAGAGGATGGGGAAGTGGCGGGGTGGGTGCCAGAGGGCCAAGGCAGCAGTGCTCCAAATGGCATCTTTAGGGGCGCGGAGCTAGATCAGAAACAGGGGAGATTGAGAGTGATCGACTGATGCCCGCCGCAACGTATGCTACTAACAGGTCAGCGCGTCCGCAGGCAACTAAAACTGAATGGTTCACCTCACAACTTGAACACTATTTACCACAGATGGAGCGACTTGCTCTGGCGAGGCTCAAGACTGGGACAGGTAAGGCGGTTGGCAGCACCATCAAAATCTGCTTCCGCCCTGGCACATGATAACGCCCTACCCTACCACGCCGTTGTGCACATGCTGCAGTTCAGTGATGCCTAAGCAGATATTAGCCCACATGATGGTTCTAAAAATGTAACAGATGTACGGTCATGGTCGAGCTCTGCCTCGGTATTTCTCTCCAGCAGAATCCCGCCGCGAACCGAACTGTGTGAACAGGAGGACATAGTTCACTGAATATCGTTGTTAGAACACTTCTTTAACTACAATGACACGCTCACATACTTGTCTATATCATACAAAAGGCGGTGGGCCTCATCTGAATATCTGTATGCTGAGCCGTGGAGACGGTCTTCACTGCTAGCACAGGTAGCAGGTTCAATGTGTAATATAGATAGAGAATTAAGTACGAAATACTTGCTGCAGACTTTGGACGAGTTGGCTGGGTGTTTTTACGAGTGGCGGTTGTTGTGCAGTGAAGAGCAAAGTCGAACTATCCTGAAGCGCCAAGTCTTAAAAAAGCAATTTGGTGGAGCACGCAGCCCAAATGTGGCAATGAATTGGGATCGTCACACGAAATGCTCATTTTACAACATGCACTCTACTGGTCTACATCTCAGGCACATGGTGCTTCTGGAACAACTATTACAATAGGCATCTCCTCATAAATATTACTCTGTTTCGCAGGAGGAATGAGCTCAGAATGACACGAATGCCTTCATTTAACAGGCGTCAATATTCTTTGTGAGCACTGTGAGCAGCATCAAGATCAATGAGGCCAATTTAAAATTATGAAAAAATGAGAGTATGATGATATATACATATATTAAGTATGACAAACTCTGATCATTGTTGCAATGGGTCACTCTTTGGTGCATGTTTGATTAATCATGTGGCAGTAACTACTACGGTGTGCAATGTATTACCTACTAGTAACTGAGCTAGCAACTGTGTAGGGCCTGTAAAGTCTCTCTGGCACCTCTCGGCATGCTATACGTGGTGTTTCTGTCGGCTGGAATTGAAATATGGACCACATTTGGGAGACATACTATAACATACTGATTTCGGTGCTCGTTTTTGTTTTATGACATGGGAAGGTGGAGAATATATGTTTGAACATATTTGCTATACCAAACATATGTCAGAAACCAATATTGAACCCGCTATTCACAAAATACTCACCGAGAGTCGAGTTTTGCGGATTTAGCGCAGACTTAAGCTCCATCAGCTCCATCAAGTGCCACCAAGCTGCTATCTGGCTATCTGGCTTCTTACATCAATTTCGCTTTTGGGAGCCATTCCTGGCTCAATTCCTCCCCTCCACTTTGTCCAATGAACTCCAAACCTTCCAGCATAGGTACCTGTACCTATGTAGAGTAGTTCTGTGCAGTTTAGAGTGAATATAACTGCTGTATAATATACTATACTTTTGTTTCTATTAAAAATCGATTTCTTTGGGCCTGAAAGTAGCAGAAAACCCTTTGCAAAGCTCCTACAGCTCTTCTAATGTTATACACTCATGTTAGATGGCACTAGAACCCTTCCCAAGAGTTTGGGGAGCCTCAGGCATCTACAAACTCTCTGTAGAGCCTGCGAGACTTGGCAAATAAAATGACACATATCAAACATTTTCATATGCTGGAAGGTGTCGTTTATAGCCCAGGATAGGACAGCTATGCTTTATTTTCGATTCCAGGCCTTGGAAGCCATCCGATTATGCAGATCTTAGTGTTTTCTATGGGCGCCTATTTGCTGATCTCGTTGAAAACACCTTCTACTGGATCAACCACTTAGAATAGAATGGGCAGACCATTTCCAATCGATTTCCAGCCTATTAAAACGGGGGTATAAAACTTTATATATTCAGAGGACATGTATTGGTGGAGCAGTTCATCAGTTAACCCCGGAGTGACATCTTGATGAAGTTCTGACCAGTTCAAAACCACCATCTGTGCACAGGTGTGTGCCTGGCTCCTACAGCATAGGTGGGAAGGGGATCACCACCTGGAAGGGTTAGAATATGTCTGAATACTATGTTTGTAGCTGCATTTAGCTTGTCTCTGCCTGTGGGCTTCTGTACATCTGCATATGTGGTGTTTTTAAGCCCTGTTTGCATACCCATGTTGTTGAGTGTAGTTTAGCCCTTTCCAAGTGTAATAGGGCTTCACAGAGCTGTATATATTATTTACTAGTGCTAGAGTGCTAAGGCACCTGCACAACCATTTGTACCCAGCTACATTCATTACTAAAGGCTGAGAACAGTGGCCAAGCTATCATGAGTGCAATAAGAGTTCTGACCTCCTGCCTGCATCTCTGCATGTTATCCTGGCCTCTAAATTGCTTCCTCATGCTTGCACAACATGTATAGATATGTTTAGAGCCATTTAACTTTCTTCCAAGCTCTATACAAGGTACAGAACCATTTGTTTCTGGTGCCCTTTTTTGCTTTAAAGATTATTTATTACCTATTATAATGTATACACCACAGGAAGACATGAGGGTTAAGACATACACCACACAAGTATACTAGAACCTATTCTAATGCTTGCCCTGACAATTCTACGAGGGGAAAAGGAAGGGGAGCAGGTGTAATAGCTTGCAGAAGCTGGTTTCCCATGCTCTGGCGCTTATTTCAAATTCAAGAGTGCTACCATATATTTCCAAAAACTCGCTGGCTCCCAGCGAGTTTTTTGTGAATAACAGCCCAGATACTGCTTTGCTGAGCTGCTTACTAATGGAGAACTTGTTTGTACATGTGTTCTCCATGACATGATGCAAAAACATTCAACATGTGATATGTTTAAAATATATCATATGTTTTGAGATGCTTTACCATATTGGAATGATGTTTTAGCTTGGTCATCTTTTCAAAAAAGCGGTATATTACATATACAGCCTAATTTCAAGCTCAGTTGATGGAAGCACCATATATAGCATGCCAAGAGGTGCCGGAGAGGCTCTACAGGTCCTACGCGATTGCTAGCTCAGTTACTAATAGGTAATGCATCATACACTGTAGTAGTTACTGCCACATAATTAATCAAACCTGATACAATGCCTCAGCGCCCTAGGTCCTCGTCAGTGAGAGCTACTCCAGCGCCCTTATGAGCTGGACAATGGTCAACAAGTTGAATCTCTTCTGAGGGGAATACACATCGTCTGCTGTGGTCGAGACAATCATGTGCATTTGTTCTGCGGGCAGCTGTTGTGAAATATGCTGATGAAATGCGCGTACAGAGATTATTGAGGCTACTTTGAGCCCATCCGGCAGTTCATGCCCCAAAACTGCTCAGCAGACGTCGAAGCTGTCATTGCACACGTTGATCAGGTCTTCACACAAGGCTTGGAGAGCGAGATGAACAAACTCAAGGCAAACTGGGGCATGCAGAATTTTACACACCTGGATGACGTCGCCGGTGCCTGTAAGTGTCGTTTTCAGACTTTCGAAGGTAATAAACTAAAGTGGCTGTGCAGTGTGAAACAACCTTTAAGACTGGCAAAGTTTGTCTCCAGACACAGGCTCGGAAGGCTTGTTCTTCCAGTTTTGCGATGCGCTCGAGGTCAAGAACGGCACGGTGCTCCTGTGTCCAGCTGGGGACTTGACCACATCTTCACAATATGAGGCGTGTACTGGAACTCTACTTACCTCAATCTGCGTAAGTCATTTTTCTGTTGGAGTATGATATCGCGCATTGACCGAATGACAGTCTGCGGTAAGCAGGACGTTGTGTGAGTTAAACCATGTACATGATGTGGAGAAAATGTTCACAGTAAACCGTAGAGACTGTCTCGGTACCTACGACCCCACGCAGTCAGTCTTCACTGACGACTCAATCAGCAATGATAACAGGTCTTGAGAATGGATCATGTAAGTCTCGTGAACTTCTCAGTCCAGAATGTCTATGTGCTGAGCTTTGAACAATTGCAATCAGGTCGGGTTCCTCCAGGAAGGTGCACCAGAGAATCACCTCACAGTCGTAACGAGGCTCATTCAACTGAGCTATGACGAGGTTTGTGTTCTCGGGATCATCCTATATTTCGTGTAAAAACTAATATCTTGCTTTAGCGGCAGTGCACTTACTTCTTCCCACAAGCCTTCAGCCAGCCTCTGGTGCCGAATGTGCAATCTGTCAATTCCGCCTACAAGGGCTGGAACATCAGCATCAACCACCTGCCTCTTCCTTGCAAATGGCCAATGTATGCCTTCTACGTGTTTTCTACCCTTTCTGAACGCATCTAATCTCACGTTTTGTAGGTGATCCTTGGCACAAAGCGACTGTCTCCACGGATGGCACAACGTCTGTCAGCACTGCGAAGCAGCCAATTGCTGTTGGCAACGGCTTCCACTGCTTGGACCTCATTAGCGACAATGGAGCTGTTGATCCGATGGTTCTCGCTGTGCAGCAGCGTGGTTTGGCCTCGATAAAGGCGTGGCTGGAAGGTTTCAAGCTGACAAAGAGGTCTCTGCCAAGGAGAAAGGACATCTAAATATAGCTATATATATATATATATATATCTTACTTACTACTGCTGTAGCTATAATGTCTCGGGTGTATATCTAAAGAAATTTGTTGCC